CCAAAGACATCTTTCCCTCCCCACCCTTATCTGCTTTCCGGAGGGACAACTCTCTCCGTGACTCCCTTGTCCGCTCCACACTCCCCTCCAGCTCCACCACACCCGGCACTTTTCCCTGCAACCGCAGGAAGTGCTACACCTGCCCCCATACCTCCTCCCTCACCCCCATCCCAGGCCCCAAGAAGACTTTCCACATCAAGCAGATGTTCACCTGCACATCTGCCAATGTGGTATACTGCATCCGCTGTACCCGGTGTGGCTTCCTTTACATCGGGGAAACCAAGCGGAGACTCGGGGACCGCTTTGCAGAACACCTACGCTCGGTTCGCAACAAACAACTGCACCTCCCAGTCGCGAACCATTTCAACTCCCCCTCCCATTCCTCAGACGACATGTCCATCCTGGGCCTCCTGCAGTGCCACAACGATGCCACCCGAAGGTTGCAGGAACAGCAACTCATATTCCGCTTGGGAACCCTGCAGCCCAATGGTATCAATGTGGATTTCACAAGTTTCAAAATCTCCCCTCCCCCTACCGCATCCCAAAACCAGTCCAGCTCGTCCCTGCCTCCCTAACCTGTTCTTCCTCCCACCTATCCCCTCCTCCCACCTCAAGCCGCACCTCCATCTCCTACCGACCAACCTCATCCCGCCCCCTTGACCTGTCCGTCCTCCCTGGACTGACCTATCCCCTTCCTAACTCCCTACCTACACTCACCTTTACTGGCTCCATCCCCGCCTCTTCGACCTGTTTGTTTCCTCTCCACCTATCCTCTCCTCTATCCCTCTTCTATCCGCCTCCCACTCTCTCCCTATTTATTTCAAAACCCCCTTCCCCTCCCCCTTTTCTGATGAAGGGTCTAGGCCCGAAACGTCAGCCTCTCTGCTCCTATGATGCTGCTTGGCCTGCTGTGTTCATCCAGCCCTGCACCTTGTTGTCTCGGATTCTCCAGCATCTGCAGTTCCTACTATCTCTGAAATACATTATTGTGTTTTCCTCCATCTGAAAACAATATTAGGTCTTGACTGCATGTGTGCAACACTACTTAAGATTGACTAGCATTGAATATAAGATATAATTTAAAACTTGCAAAGGATCTCAGAAATATCTGCCGGTGCAATAACTTCTAAAATATGCAATAGGAACTGCAGAACAACTTGGTGCAAAAATCTTGACGTTCTCCTAAAGGGAAGTGGGGAGCTGACAGGAAACAAGAACTTAGCAGTCATAGGTTTGAACTGCTAAACACCTATTTGTTACAGCAGTGGGTTTATGAAGTTTGTGTTGTTATTGTTTGTTGTTGTTGTGGAGTGGGTTTATAAAGTTGGCTTTAAGGCAATTTGTTGGAACAGAGGAATGGTTATCAGCAAATATTTGACCAACAAGTGCTTTTTTGCAATAATCCGCACTACCCCAAAAGAAAAAGATTAATAGACACAAACAAAAGCAAAGTATTAAAGATATGACATATGTTGAAGCTAAATTGTCATTTCATAAATACATGTTGCTTTCTGTACATTATTGCTGTTTTTATATTTACTTACAAAAATGAGCAGCAACATTGACAATGTATTTTAACAGTTTGTAAACAGTGATGAAGAAGCACTTGTTCTCAAAATTTTATTTCTTTAATACTTGATTTAATAGGCTAGGCATATTTGTTTCTCTTTCTGGCATTCTGAAAGAGACAACACACAAGAATAAACATTTTTGAGACAACAGGCGAAGAGAATTATATAAATCTTCACAGGGAATCTGTCTGAATTAAAACATAATGTTGGGGTCATCACAATTAATATGTGATGTATTGAACAATGTTTAATGTCTCCCAGTGATTTACTGAGGCGAAATCCCTTTAATCTTGCAGTAATTAGGTCACAGGTATAATGAATGAATGCAATGGGGTAAAATTGTTTAAAAGGGTATCTACTTTCAACCTTAGCTCTAATTTATTGTTACAAGTAACATTGATATTTTTATGTAGATGCAATCAGAATGATGTTCTGAAGTAAGAATTTAATAAAGTGTGATGCTCCTATCTTACTATGTCAATGAAACAACTTGATGTGCCTGATTTCATGTGATTATTGCCTGTGTTTTCAGATTCTTATGATTATGACACTTTTGAACAAAATATACAAAACCATTTTGACTTGGTAAGTATTCAAAACGCCATACAAATGCAAACATAAAAGATGAGGAATATGTTGCAGGCACCTATGGTTTTAACAAAATTGCTAATGGGATATTGGCGTCATTGGCAAGGCAATAATTTATTGACACTCACTGATTACTTTGAGAAGGTAGTGATGCAACTGAGTATCTGAGTTTGTTATGGTCTCTTCCAGAGCATAACAGAAAGTCTGTTATGAAATCACACACAGAGACCACACTGGACAAAGGTGACAGGTTTCCTTCCTGAAAGGACGTCAGTGTTTTTAATGACAATCCAACAGCCACATGGTCACATTGGATGTGAACTTATACTCTATAGAGGTATAGCCCAACAATATAACCATTATACTACTCAGTCCATGGGTAGATTTTTCTGCTTAGGATCAGGACCCTGACATTGGGATCAAATCCTGTTTCCAACTCTGCATTTTGTCAGGAAGGGTCATCTGACACTGATTTTGCCTTGATTCTAGCTAATTAGGGACTTGAAAACATGCCTGCCATCCAATTAACACTGGTGGGTGGGCTTTTAAAGCACAGAAGCCAATGAGACACCCTCCAGCACAGAAGGAACTGCAGCCCACCATTGTTGGTAAGGAAGAAATAGGATTTTTCCATTTTGAAGAATATCCCAGTCGGCCTGTGGTCCAAAACCTTAATTGGGCTCTTAATGACTCTAACTACCTACGACCCAGTTGCAGGTGGGTAGCTGTTCCACCCCTGAACAGGCCTTCACAAAAATGGCTTGGGGCCAGAATAATGCTGGTAAACTGGCATGCTAGTTAGTGGTGCAAAATGATGCCATGTTCCTGTTGCATAACAGGATGAAAATCCTGCTCTACGTTCTGTTACAGAGCAGGTTTGAACACGCATGATTGCGGACACAGGCCCAAAGACAATAGAAAATCAATATATAGGTGAGGCGCATCTCTAAACTCTGTTATCCTATGTGTTGGATCCAACAGCATGCATTTACATAGTGCCTTCGATGCAAACAGATGTCCCAAGATACTTCATTTCCTTCTTTCATTTAAAAAAGAACAGAAAACTCTCTGCACTTTATGCTGTTTGTCAAGCACATAGTTCGCAAAGTAGTGTGCACAACAATCTAAGTTAGTCATGCATTAGATGGTTTAAAGTGGAAAAAGAAACAAGCCCAGGTACGATACTGAGAAAGGAAGATCCTACACTTAATCTCTGATCTGTGCTGTCCTGTTAAGCATCACGGGATTGTAATTAGCCTGAATGTGGTCATTTCGGGTGAAATACACCTCATTTCTCCATGATCACCAACGTTCAGGTGCTGGAACTCTGTGGATATCAGGTTCAGACTAGATGAGGCTGAGCTATACAGTGGATCTGCTATTTCATAGACTGATAACATGAAAAAAATTTCAGACAAGATATCAACAGCAGAACAGTGGACAACTGTCTTAAGGACAAGACCAGCAACTCAAGGACGAGGATAAAAAGAGATTAAATGTTTTTGTACCAGGCAACATGAAGGCTACATATCTTTTAACCAAACAGTTGCCCTCATTTTAACAGTCTGTACACTCAATATCAGGAATTTATTCCATTTAGCTGTAGGCCATGCCTTCAAAGTGTAGACCCTAAGCTTTGGAATTTCCCAACTGCCCCACTGACCCTTTTTTCCTCTCTAGCTCTCTCTTCTTTTAGAACACTCCTTAAAGCCTACCTCTTTGGTCAAGTTGTCCAAATACCTTCTTTACAGGCTTAGCATCAAATTTCGTCTGTTAATGTAGCTTTAAAGTGCTTTGGGATATTTATTATGTTAAAAGCACTGTACAAATCCAATTATTGTTCTACCTGTGAATTCTTCAGACATAAGTATCAAGTATTTCAATGTTTTTCATGTACTCCCAAGACTGCTACATTCATACACAATACATCATAGGCAAATTATAATGAAAGTCTTCATACAAAATTGCAAAATAAATGGCAATAGGTAATACATCAGGGTTTACAGCAAAGTAAATATTTTCATTAAACATTCTCAGAGCAAAGGCATTTTGAAATAAAAACTGTAAAACAATTTCATTATAAAACAAAAATTACAAATATGTGTTCTGTGTAATTTTGTGAGTCAATGAATTTAACAAACAACTGGGCATATTTCTTTGTAAGCTTGACTGTATGTTGTGTGGATTGTCACAAGACCAAGGAGGAGAGAGTGAGGGTTCGCGTTTGATGACTGTGTGGATTAGGTCATGACCTTTGAACTGCAGCGGTATTTTGTGTGTCTCCTGACTTAAGCCCTTGTCCTGGATAGGACGTTGTGGGAAGGCACCTGCCTGTAAACAGTCTGCGACTTGATCATGGTGAGTGCAACGGGACTGGACAGCCCTCTGTGGACTGAAATGAGCCATGTCTATGTCATGTTTCAACAGCCTGTTGTGGTTACATGTGCTGTTTGTCATCCACAGGCCGTTGCCTTTGACCATGCTGGCTCTGCAGAATGGGGGTAGCAGAGGAGTCTTCAGTTTTTCACAAGGTGGCAACTGCTCCAGCGCGTTGGGGTCGCACTTCACCTGAGGCTGCCCTGGGAAGCTTGTTGCCATTTTCTGCCCAACTTCTCCACTGTCAGCCCATTGTTGACTTGGAGATCCCAGTGGCTCGTCCAATTCATTGTGCGGGTCAGGACTATATTCACTTTTGATGTGCACTCCCAGAAACACTTCTGCACTGTTGCAGTACCCCGCAGTGGGGTGCTCCTTTGGCCTGCTAGCCACAAAGCTGGCATCATCAGTCTTACAGCTTTCAGACGGGTAGCCATCCAGGTTGGTGTATGGCAAGCTGCCATAGGGCTGGTTCTGCTGCACCTCTTCTCCAATGCTCCTGAAGCTCTGGGGTATACCTTGAAAGCTGGAGGCTTGGGTGCTACATCTGAGCCGGGGCTCGGACAGCAGTCTACTTCTGCCACAGAAGGGTTTGGCCTCACGACCAGGAATGTTACCTATCTTCTCCATTTGTTTTGGTGGCTGCAAATTCGAGAGACCTCTGGAATACTCTGGACCCCATAAATCATCTGCCATGGTAACTTTTGGACCCCTGGGAAATGAGGTGCAAAAATTAAGTGGCTCATTTTGGTTGATGCCACCGTCACTTTTAATGGTCTCATATTTCTCCTCTCTTCCTTCTTTTTCTGCATGCTGCTCATACAGATGTTTTAACTGCAGAGGTGTTTCAGTGCAGTTGCCGTACACTAGTCTGTTGGCACTGGCAGTCTGGTCAGGATTTGACTGGTTCCTCAGGCGCTCCTCTCCGGATCTCTCTACATCCCTGTGGAAAGTGAGAAACATTATTACACCATGCATAGAGTATGGCTTTGAAGATTATCAACCATGAATCTAGGCATTCACCCATTTGCATTAACTTCAATTTTAAAGTGGCTGGTTATAGCATTTTAAGTACTCTTCTGGGCAGAAGCAATTGGGATTACTCCCTCGTTCACAGCTCATTTCTGTGCACTGAGTGCAAGAACAAAGCTTTGTAGATATACAAGAAAACAGGATTATATTATTGATCAAATTAATAGATAAATGAACCAAGATAATCCTCTTCTAAGTGAGGTAAGATTACAATTTGTACTGACTGTAGTTTAAATAGAGTTGCAGGTAAAGGAACTGGTAATAAATGCACAAAAGTCCTGGATTACCCTGGAGATCCCAAGAATGTAAAGATTAATCTCCAGAATGCTTCTGACAGCAACACTGGAGGAAAACAAAAATGTACATTTTGACATTTAAAATAAAAAATAATTAATAGTCAGTGAATGACAATAATACAAAAATTGTGAAATAAGACTTACTTGATTTCCTCTTTAGGTGATGTGGCATCTTCTGGGGTTTTGTTCCTGTAGGGCAGATGGCCACTACTTTGAAGCCAAACCCATTGGCCTTCCTTTGTGAGTACTCTGAAGACTGTGACACCCTTTTCTTCAGCATTCATCACTGTTTGTGAGAACATAAAACATTTCTCAGAATAACATTTGATCAACTTTATTCTGCTTAGCCTTCCTGTTTCTAATCAATTTGGAAAATTTCACACCATTGATTGTGGAGTGGAGATTCTAACCTACTACAACTTTATATTCATATGGTGCCTTCAACCAATCAAAAAGTGCCATTATGTTTCATAGAAATGTAATCAAGCGTAATATAACACCGAGCCACATCAGGATAGGTGACCAATAACTTGGCAAAGACTAAGTTAAATGAACAAGCTTTAAAAGGAGAGAGACATAGCGAGATGGAGGTGTTTGTGGGGAACTTACTTCGTATTTGGTTCTCTGCGCAGTACAGCATGTCTGTGAAGTGGAGGTAGTGGCAACCTGACCTTGCTCGGAGTTCTGCGTCTGACCATCCTGCAGCTGCTTTGCCCCTGCATGCAACAAAATGGAACCATTGCATCACTAGAGGGTAGATGTTATGTTAAATTCATAAAAAATTCTGCTCAGACAGCATCTAGTGCACCGTGTTCAGTTCAGGGTATTGCACCACAGGAGCTGAAAAGATTAAATATTAAGGACTAATAATAAGGACAATGTGGACTTCACAAGCTTCAAAATCTCCCTTCCCCAACCACATCCCAAAACCAGCTTGTCCCCGCCTCCCTAACCTGTCCTTCTTCCCACCTCAAGACCCACCCCTATCTCGTACCTACCAGCCTCATCCTGCTCCCTTGACCTGTCCTGGACTGATCTGTCCCTGTCCCGGGACTGATCTATCCCCTCCCTAACTCTCCACCTACACTCACCTTTACTGGCTCCACCCCCACCTCTTTGACCTGTCTCTCTTCTCTCCACCTATTTTCTCCTTTATCCATCTTCTATCTGCCTCTCTCTCTATTTATTTCAGAATCCCCTTCCCCTCCCCCATTTCTGAAGAAGGGTCTAGGCCCGAAACGTCAGCTTTCCTACTCCTCTGATGCTGCTTGGCCTGCTGTGTTCATCCAGCTCTACACCTTGTTATCTCAGAGAAAGAGTTCGTGGAGTGGTAATGTGTATTTGTTTGCATTGCTCGAGTTTTACAATGAAACAAAACAGCAGTGCTTGAACTTGGTTTAGAAGAATCAGGAATTGATTTTTTAGGGGACAAGCCTATAGCTTGGAAAACTTTTGGTTTCAGTTCACGAGGTCCTAGTTGAAGTAAGATGTAAGAAACAGCTTCTCCTGGAGAAAGAAATCAGTTTAGAACAGTTAGGAAATAGGTTACCTCAATGGCACCATTTTATTTGAAGGCTTCAAACCAAAGTGTTTGGTTTGAACCCTGAAGGGGTTATTTGAAGCTGAGAAGGTCTATGCTCAGTTGTGCGAATAATTGAGGAAAAGACTATCAAACTCCTAAAGCTGAGAATTGAACGAAAAGGTACATCAAACCTGTAGATGTATGAAAGAAGGGGACTCTCTCTGATACCGAGTGCTGTAAATGATGGTGTTGGAATAGATGGGATTGTATTTTTATTCTGTGTTTCAAAATCTTTCAAATTGTATTTCACATAAACAGCTGGGTTTATTCTGTTTTATCTTAATTTCTTTCTCATATTAAACTTTTGTTTTCTGATTAAACCATATCTACAGAATTGTGTGCTTGTGGTTCAATGAAAAACAAGCTAGTTAAATAAAAAAAACAAAATATGATAATCCAACTAAATTTCAGTCTGGGATCTTCCTCAAAAACAAAGTTGCTGGAAAAGCTCAGCAAGTCTGGCAGCTTCTGTGAAGGATAAAACAGAGTTAACGTTTCGGATCCGGTCACCCTTCCTCAGAACAGATCTGCTTGTCCAGTAATAATATCAGCTAGGATCATTACAACAGGTTTTTGTTAGACAAAGATATTACAGGCTACACAGCCAGGATTGGTGAAAGTTAAGATACAAAATAACAAAATGGCAGAACAGGCTTTAGGGGCTGAATGACCTATTCCTGTTTCTCTGTTCCATAAAACAGAAAGAATTTGTAGCAACAGGAAGATCAAATAGTACAAGGGAGATTTCTGGAACACTTACTATACCACATGAACACGGGGGATCCTGATTACTGTAGTTGTAGACTTTGATTTCCTCAGGTGGGGATTATTACCACATGTGCCCCTGTCAAAAACAAGCCAATAGGAAAGGCAATGGGCAACCTTCGAATGAGAGAGTCAATTGGGCCTTACTGGGACAGAGAAAAGATCTGAATGACCTTAATTTCCAAGGATATATCTAGCCGTTTTTTGAATGAGGGATCAATTGCAATTGGCTCAGGGTCTCTTTGAGCTTTATTATAATTCAGGCATTTTCTACATTATCTTCTCTTGTGCACATTACAAACTATCACTCTCACAGGTCTAAGTGCCAAAGCATGACATCCTGTGCAAAGTACCCTGGAAGATTTGATGCCTGGGATAGGCAATGAAATTTAGCTGCTAGTAATGCATTGTATATACTATAAGATTCCATGCAATGTAAAAATCAGACTGGCTTCGACAAATTGTATTCATTGTCAATTTAGTAAGAATGTTACAAGACACTTAACTGTATCCGCACCACGAACTGCAGTGTTTAAAGAAGGTGACTCATTAATATCACATCTCAGGTTGAAAGAGCAACAATGAAAATCCCAGATTTAGCTTTCACAAAAATCTGTGGGTTTCGGGGTACCGTACCATATTCAATATCAAGTACTATATAGTATCTAATACGCAAATTAATATTGTGACAAAAACCACCTTCTTGAAGGCATTTAGGGATAAAGCAATAAATTGGCTTAATTGAAAAATACAATGAGCAGAAGCAGGGGCAAAATAGGGCAGATTTCACTTTCCTTTAACTACAATGTCTGTTCCAAATGATTTAAAAATATTGCCAAGTACAATGACTGTTGGCTTTGCAGCTTAAGAGGACAATAAAAGGGATTTAGATGCATGTGTAATTCCGGCTGTTTACCAGCAGATGGAAATGCTGGACTTATATTGCTCGGTGGAACTCAGAGTGAGTATTTTGATGGAGGGGATAGAATTCAGGAACTAAATATTCTCAGAACAAAAACATAATGCTGGAAACACTCGATTTGGCATCATGTGTGTTGACAATCTGTATTCTGACCCACTTATTGGATGGAGTGCTTTGTGTCCTGAAGTAACCCTGTTTGTTTCAGGTCAGATAGTGAATTTGAGGGTGGGTGTTTGCGGGGGTGGGGGAAGCACTGAGGAAAGGCGAGGAAACTGGATGCTGAATTTTGCTTTGTCTGTCCCTATTAATAAAAACACAGAATTTCTGTTTTCATTTATCAGTCAGCTCATTGCCCTAATAGCCACATCTGATTTAATTGGAGTTTAAGACTGAGCAGGAGAAAGCAGAAAAACAGGGGCAGATTCTTCAACAGCCAGCAGAAAGATCATCCCCAAGCCTTTTTTGTTGCATCGCCAAATTTGAATACTATCTCCCAACAGTGACATTTGAAAATAAAATGTATATGCTAATTCTTATTTCATCTCCATTCAATTGATATCAAGTTTGCTTCTGAGCAAAGAGCTCTGACCACGTAGGAAAGGAAATAGGCCATTCAGCCCCTTGAGTCATTACTAACATTTGTTAAGATTGTGGCAGACTTGATCAACTACATTTACCTGCACTTATTCTGTACTCTTTGATTCTTTACTCAACAAAAATCCACCGGTCTCAGGTCTTAAGAATTTCATTTCTGATCTTTAGTCTTCCCCAAGTCGGAGGCTTAGCTGTTATGAATTATAAGAAGGATCTTCCCCAATTTAAACCAGGCCCAGTTGTGTTTGGGGCAGGGGATGTGAGGAGTGGGTTAGGAAGAAATGAAGGCAGGATGAGAAAGGAGTTCAGAAGAGGAACGGGTGACATTTTGGTTTACCCTGCAGGCCATCTGGTATTGCCTAACCTTTGAAGACTCCTTACAGGTTGTTTTCCTGAATTTAAATAGCTTTGCTTCTGATCAGTGAAAGTAGACCAGGGTGGGATGGAGGAGGTGGAGGATAATGGAGGCAGTTGCAATTCATGCATTTTGAAGTAATCTGACTTGAAGCTGGGAAATATATTGTTTTTAGTTGGTTGCTGAGTGCCTGCTGCATCCAGAGACTTTACCAAAATAATAGTAAAAATGACGGTTAGGCCACTCAGCCAGTAATTCAGAGACTTAAATTAATAATCCAGATAACATGAGTTCAGGTATCTCAATGGCACATTGACAGTTTGAATTCGATTTAAAACAAATGAAGAGGGAACTCTGTTTGCATTTTGACAGCTATGGCAAACTCTACCACATCTGCTGAGACAATCCACAACCTTCTAAAACAATTAACAATGCTCAAAATTAAACAACTCACAACATTCTCTTAGAAGTGTCAATTTGCCCCATGCCCCAAAGTTAACAAATCTTCAAAAAATTCCAAAGTCCAGATTTACATCTTCACCAAAAACTGAGCAGTTTTCCTTGGGCCATACCCTACTTTGTGTACCAAATTTTGTTGAACTTCATCTGTTAGTTTGAGATATATTGTTTATGGACAAACAGGCTAATAGAGACAAAGACATTTATCTTCAGTGATGAAGATAAAAATGTGGAAATAAAGTGTTTGGATCAGCAAAAATAACTTTCACTGCGACTGTATACTAACCACCTTCTGAAAAAGCCTAACAAGCCACTCAGATAGATTAACTTGCTAGCAGCTTACAATAAAGGCTATGCATCTTCTCAGGATAATTCAGAACAGGAGATAAATGCTGACCTGGCCAGTGACACCCATAAATTAAAAACAGTTATAGATTCTAAAAAGTCCAGGACAAAAACATAATAGTTATGTCCAATTTGATACATAAATGTAACTACTTAAGAACTTAGTTTGGCTATTTGTATTTCTGATTGTTAAATTAAAAAAATAATCAATCGACATTATTGCTGGGCATATGATATTTTAAAGTTTTCAAAAATGTATTAATTTGAGATGAGTCAGTTTCAGCATGGAGAACATTCATTGTCCATTACTTGTTACTTTGAGTTGCAGTCACATGCACCTTCAGAAGGCAGCTAAAAGCCAACCATGTTATCATGGGACTGGAGTTAAAGATCACGCCAGACCTAGTAAGAATGTTGAGATTCATTCTCCAAAAGACAATTTTTATTTAGAACATCCTCAAAAGAGATAGTGCACTTCATCTTCTCATGAGCTCTCTTGTTATTTCCTTGTCTCTGTTTGACTAATTATGGAATCAAAAAGCACTGAAGGTGTTCATCATCCTAGTACCAGTGCTCTTGAAAACACTATGCAGTTTGTTTTACTCCTCCACTCTTTCCCCAGAGCACTGCAAAATTGTCTTTCTCATGCATATACTTTGAAAGTTAGTTTATTTGCTTCCACTGCCATCTCATGAAGTGCATTGCTGATCATTCTAATACGATTGAGTTAGGGAACTTGTCGCTTACTTTGCATTGAGTGCCTGAGGACTGAGGTCGAGCCTGTGCTTGGTTTTGAGGAGCAAGCCTTTCAGATTCATCTCGCTGATGGGAGGGAACAACAGCGGCACGGCAATACAGAACAAACCCAGCTGTGGTGGAAGGTTGGCTCCAGAACCAGTTTTCTTCCTCTGTCCCTGGAGGTACTTCAGTCTGCCTTGGAACTGCATCGTCTGCCATGAGAAGGTGAGAGGAGTGAAAAGATGAAGAACCAAGCAGAGCTGACAATAAAATAATGAATGCAAAGACTGGTTGAAACAGTGAAGAAATTACACACTTCTATTCCATTGCATTTGGAAGATCAAGGAGTGATCAACTTAGCATATTTAAATATTAAAAGAATTGCCAGAGTAGCAATCAAGAACCAGTTTCCTTTGCTAAAGGAGTCCAGAATCAGGGAGGAGAGGGGAATAACCTTGAAGTTAGAGCAGAGCCATATGTGGGTGATGTCAGGAAGTAATTTTTCATATAAAAGGTAGTGAAAATCTGGAAATTTCTCCCCAGAAATTCTCTTGAAGCCACATCAACTGAAAATTTGAAGATCCAGTCTTATTTTGTTGGGTAAGGATATTGGGTATCTTAAAATCAAGGCAGGTAGACAGAATTAAGATATAGATCGACCATGATCCATTTGAATGGCAGAATAGGCTTGAGTGTCTGAATGGTCTACTCCTGTTCCTATCTGAAGCATGAGAACCAGAAGGCTCTCCAGGTCTATCAGCTGTTGTATTCTTAATGAAGGCTGATGACCAGACCAGGCCCTAACCTAACAGTGCATTTTCCAATGGTTTGGTTCATGTGGAGGGGTAGGTGAGCCTTCACTCTTACCGACTGAGTCCATTTATCTGGAAGTGCCGGATTGAGGACTCTCTAACTGTGAAGACCCATGTCTCAGGTCTGCTGGATGTGGCCAGTGGATCCTCAGAGGCTGGAAGGCTGAGAGAAAGGAGGCATAACAAGCTTGCTGGCAGCAATTGTGGGCCTTTCCTTGGAGTGGGGAGGTGGAAGGGCTGAAAAGGCCACAAAAGTCATCTTTCTAGTGAGTTAGTGGCAGGAGAGATTTCCCAAATGCCTCTGAGACTGGTAGATGCCAGCCTGACAATTCTGATTGGGCAGACTGGAACCTAAGGTTGGCACATAGTGACATAGATATACGCTCATGACAAGACCTCTCCTCCTACTGAAATGTTATACTTAGACTGTGTCATGTTGGAGGCCCCCGCCAATGATGATTCACAATGCTTTCATGGGGATCAGGCCCCTGCTCCTGCCCTTGGATGTCAAATCAGTTGAAGGCAGTAGCTTTCTCTTCAGGTCTTTCCTCAACAGTTTACATACCAGGAATCCTGATGTGCTATCCAACAGGCATCGCACTCGGCTGATGAAACAACGGTTCAAAAATGGAGAAAACTCTGGTGGCAGAACTTTTGGGTCATGAACTTTGAAAGAGCCCCGATACTCGTCACCTGAAATTTGACAAAGTAAAGTTAGCTTCAGAATAATAATCTCTCACCAAGAAATCAAGTCACAGTCATATCCACTACAACTGATATAGCAGTAAACAAGGCAATAGGAGGCTTCAGGTGATTCAATATATCTTGGAAGCATAGAAAAAAACTGAAAACTAGCATTGCATGGTAAAGCCTTATCATATCTTTCAGAATGTACTTCATAGCATCCATGCAAGGAATCCAATCACTGCATCCATTTCATAAACAGCAAAGGTGATTATCAATTCACCAGTGTTTAGCACTATTGATTGAGAGAAGATGACAAAGAGAGAACTCCCCCTGCTCTTCTTCAGATAGTCCTCTGGACAGATATGCATCTGGACATACTAATGTGACTTTGGCTTAATATCCCATCAGGAGGATGAGTAGGAGTGCAGTTCTGAAATATCAGACTTGACTATGATCTCCACGCCTGTGATTGGCTTGAACTCTCAACCTTCTAACTCAGAGGCTGGAGTGCTATCAACTGAGCCAAGCTGACGCTGCATTTTGGACTTTCCAAACTTATCTCAGTTTGTAGATCATAGATATTAAACAATATAACCAGTACTTGAATTTTCTTGACAAAAATAGAATTCCATTTAATAATAAACTCCATCTGTTTACCATCTCTTAAAAATGTTCCAAACACTCTTATAAAGGAAGAAAAGAAAACTTGCACTTCTATCTTACTCCATAGTGCTGTACAACCAATGAAGTAACTTTGAAGTATATTTGTTATTGTAATTTTGGGAAGCCATTTGCTCACAGTAAACTATCACAAACAGCAATGTGATCTTGACTAGTTAATCTGATGCATGATATTGGTAAATATTAAGCAGAACACTGGAAGAAACCTTGTGCTCTTCTTCACAATAGTAGGTCATCAGAATATTTAAATCCAGCTCAGAGGGCAAATGCTGTCTTGCTTTAATTTTCCATCTGAAAGACAGCACCTCTGACTATACAGCACTCCTTCAGTAACACAGTGGAGTGTGAGTCCAGATTATGCATTTTAGTCTCTAGACTGGGACACAAATCTACAATGTTTTACCTCAGTGGCAAGAGCACTACCTCTAAGCTAGAGGTGATACCAAGTCTAACAAAGTTTAATATTTATCCAACTAGTTACCTCTATACTTGGTCATTCGCATGTTTACCCATTGTTTTTCGCGATTAATCTGACTAGGCTGGACTGCCCACAGGGAGTCTTATGCACAGAGAACAGGTTTTGGAAATTCGAAAACGCACCACTGCTGCATTTTCTGTGGTTGGTTTTAGTGAAGGGAAAATAACTTGATAGAGCTGTAATACTGTGGGGATTTTGTTAGATGGCATCTTGGGTCAGAGATAGAGCTAGCTAATAACAATATAGAGATTTTCAGTGAGGAAGAATAACCTATTATAAAGCTGGCAAATATGTCAGTCCTCTACTGTTGCATTTTTATCAAAATCATCCATATTGACAGAGCATAGGTCATATTCCAGCCTTTGTGAACATGAAAACATGAAAAATGATAGAACTCAATTCAATTAATTTGTTAAGTTGCAGGCCAGCAGTAGAAACACAGCAATGAAAGCTGCCAGATTGATGGAAGACCCAAGTCTGAGATGGAATTTTGACTTTGTGCAACATTATAAATATTGAAATCAATGGAATTGAAAACTGGGAGATGTCAAATGGGTTGCTGATGGACTATCATCAATTCTCTGTTATTGTGCAAAGTTAAGATTATACTCTCCAACCAGTTCATTAAGTGGGAGAATCTGGCCTGGTCTGGTCTATATTTGACTGCAATCCAACACTGTGCTGTGGAGTATTAAGGCCCTCTGAAATAGTTTAGAAAATCACTGAATTGTGCTGTAAGGCAAGAAGGTGCAGCACCACCTGTTCATACAACCCCAAGTCAATTTTGTCCTACTGCTACTGTACAAGGGCAGCGCTCACTTCTCGTACTCCATGATGCATTGAGGGTAATGAGAAAGCAGACTGAATGTACGCACCATTAGCTCCCTGTCCTGAAGGCTCTGGCCCAGGTGCCTGCTGGGGTGGATTCATAGCCCAGTGTAGCTGCCTCTGGAACTCCTGCCGATCATCAACATGGATGAAGTCATACACACTTTGGTGCATCACATCAGTCTGAATATACAAAAATAGACAGATTAGCTTGCAGCTGACACCAGTCAAAGGAAAGTCTTAATATATGTATAGACATAGGTTTAGAATTTAAGATGTCACAGTCTGTATTGGAGGGACAAAGAAGGATCAGATTAGAGAAGTACTGCACTCAACATGAAGAATCAGAAATATAAAAAAATGCTTCTTCTTTACTCCATGAACCTCCCAGGAGTCTGTTTGGGCAATGAAATGTTGGTTTTTCTCCTTGCTGTGTGTGGGAGGAGTTCCCAGTAATCTTGATAAGCAAATGAGATAAAGTCCTGTTGTGTAAAAATTCTATCCTCCCCCACACTGCCTCATGATTTCTGGAGATTAGTAGAATTTTTTTTTTACTTTCTGTTAATTTGGGGGATGTGGGCAGTGCTGGAAAGGCATTTATTGCCCATCCTTAGTTTATCTTGAGAACTTCACTTTCTTTGTAAACTTATCAGTTTGTGCGATAAAGGTAATCCTATAATGCCTTTAGCTTGGGAATTCCAGAATTTTAAGATAACTATGTTGAAGGAATGGACAACATTTGCCCAACTCAGTTTGGCAGTATGGAGCAGAATTTGGAGGTGAGGGTGTCCTCACACACTGGCTACTATTTTCCTTCTGGATTCTGGAGATCATGGGATTGGAAGCTTCCATACATTTCATGGCAAGCGACGATATGGAAGATGAACTCCAGCACCACACACTGTCCAGTGATGAGGACACTATCCCAAGGACCTTTGCATTCAGAGGAAGAGACGAGGGTTCAGTGCATTTGGAGTGGATCTCCTCGTCCTCTGATTCCTCAGCCCCTCAGTCGGGTGTTCTGTGTCCTGGGTCCAAGCAAGGAAGGCTGCCCTGGCAGAGATGCAGGTGATGCAGTCTAATCGGGGGTCCCTGCAAAATGAAGCTAACTCCCCCAACCTTTACAGCCATATGTTCAGGGATGTGAGCAACATGTCTTCACCTTCCCTGTGGCCACAAGGGGGACACTACTTAGGAGTGTTTGAGAGCAAAGGCATCGGTGTCAGTTAGAGCATTAATGGAATCACTGTTGTTTAGATAAATTTAATTGTGTTAAGCAAGGAACTAGGAATGCATAAATAAAACAAATACATTTATCTGTGAAAAATAATAGCTATCATCATTGTATTAACAAGCATGTACATAAAGTCCAAATAATTTATTATCTTAGCCAATCCAAGCAGTACATCCTTCTGTGGTCCATCAATCCTCTACCCTTCTGGATCTTTCTAACGTCTATTCCCTAACGTAGCCAGATCACTTAGTCTGAACTCCTGGTCAGCTTACAACCTCAGGGCACAGACCCATCAAACAATGAACCATAGCATCTGGTGATGATGGGGTCCTACATGAATTGCTTAGAGCAAATGGATGGATGAGTGGGAGTGTTCTCTTGTTGACATTCACCTCACCAGCCTTATGGGTACCTAATGTTTCCAACTCCTTATTGGAGGGGTAGACGCATTCCTCCTTGGGGTCCAGATTGAACTGTTCTTGGTAGAAAACTGTGGAACATGCAGAAGATCACATTGATTCTGGGAGGCGCCCACTGCACTGAGTCCTCCAGGCACCTGAACTACACCTTTAGAAGATTCCTGAGCTGTTCAGTGAGTGGCCTTGTATGGATAAGGCTGCCGGTGTACCTTCTCTGCAGCTGAGTCAGGGGATGTTGTAGCTCTGTAAGAAACCACGTTTTCAGGGATTAGCTTTTCTCCTGGAGGATTCAGCTATGCTCAAGGAGGGTGAGTCTAAACCTTCTTGACAATCCAGACTGCCTGAGGATAAACAAATCATGGCAACTGGTCTAAACATGTAAGCACCTTTTGTGATGGTCACAGAGGGGTTACCTTGTTGAGGGAGGCGGTGGCCTCTTTCAGCTGATGTGCCTGACTGCATTCACATGGGGTATCCTTATTGCTACATGCACACAGTCAACTAAAGCCTGTACCTAAGAGCATTCAGGGACAGAGAAAAATCCTGGCAGCCTCTGTGTCTGCAGCCCTCCATCTGTGTTGAAGCAAATGAAATGCACTACCCTGGCATAAAGGGCAATAATTACCTGATGGATACTCCTGTGTGCTGCAGATTGAGAGACCCACAGTGGAGCTTTGAAAAGAGCAAAGATGTAAAGGAATCGAGCATCCTGGTCACCTTCTAGGGCAGTGAACGCATCTGATTTCTCTTTGGCTTGAAACCTTCTTGCAAAATGTTCTAATGCCTAACCACCACGTCTCTGAACAGACACAGCTTCCTCCAACCTTGCCGTTTGGTCATATCAAGGTTCTTTATCCTGTACCTGTATAGCCTCTCAGCTGGATACCTCCTCAGCATTCTGCACCTCCTTCTTGTAGAATCTCAGTGCAGCCATGCCTTGGAGCCAGGCAGGTGACACGTAAGTCACTTTTAGGCTGTTGCTCCATCTTTGTCTCTACGTACCACAGATGGAACAGGAGTGTTTCCATTCTAAATTTCAGATTTTAAAAGGGCTTTTCTTAATGCTCAGGAGGTTGAGTTGAGCTTCTTCTTTCTGGTGTTCAGATGTATAGGGCTTTGCTTTAATGTAATTCTCCTTTCAGCCTCCCTTCCTACTAAATATTTTACGTCCTCAGACAGAGCGTTTTGTGGCTTATAAATTGCAGAAAAACATCAAGGACAATCACTGTACTTTACTTATTACCTTTTCACAGCCCGATGAATTTCCTCAGGACTAAATAGGCATCCATTTATTTGGTTTGTTAAATGCACAGTTCTCGATGAAAGTTAGGAAATACAAATTTCTTCCCCCTCTTATACAGAAGAATTTGAATCCAGCAGAGGTGGCTATGCATTGCACACAGGGAGCATTGTGACTTGCAAAAAAATAGCATTATAAAGTAGTAGGTATAAAGTGGTATTCAGTGAGGCAGAAGAAAATAGTGTTTGCCCTGAAAAATTCCAAGTTCAGCCTTTTGAGAATGAGAAACACCTCCAAAACCAGATGGAAATTAGCCCCATCATGTTTGAAGGAATTTTGAATATTTGGGGGAAATAAAATTGCTGCCTTTGTCACACGATTGAGAAGAGGTCAGTATTGAAACAGTTGATTTGGCTCGTCTAAAAGTAGCAGCACTAATACTAGCTATAGAACAGCACAAGAGTCAAGTCAACTGACTATGTCTCCGAATGAGCAATTCATTCAGCTTCATTCTCCCGCCTTCTCCTCATAGCCCTGCAAATCTTCCTTTTTGGATAGTAGTCTAATTCCCTTTTGAATGCTTCAATTGGACCTGCAACTACCATAATGTCAGGGAGTGCAGTCTAGACCTTAATCATTTGCTGTACATAAATGATTTTTCCTCATGTCGTTTTTGCTTCTTTTACCAATTATTTGATATTCATGCCTTCTTCTCAATCTGCTCAAGATTGGAAACAGTTTCTCCCCTTTTATAGCGCCCAGGACTCTATCAAATCTCCTCTCAATCTTCTTTTCTCCAAGGAAAGCAGTCTTAACTCCGCCCACCTATCTTCCGAATTGAAGTTCCTCATCCCTAGAGCCATTCTTGTGAATCATTTCTGCACTCTCTCTCCAATGTCTTCGTATTCTTCCTAAAGTACAGCATCCAGAACTTGTCAGAATGCTCCAGCTGAGGCTGAACCAGTGTCTAAAATACATTCAGCACAACCTCCTCTCACTTGGACTCCAAGCCAATATTAATAAAGCCTAGGACACTGTATATTGTTTTGAATTGCTCTCTCAACCTGTCCTGCCACTCTCAATGAATTGTACACTTCTACACTCCGGTCTGTCTGCTCCTGTACAACCTTGTGAACTGTGCCCTTTGTTTTATGCCGTCCTTCCATGTTCTTCCTACCAAAATGAATCACTTCTTTGCGTTGAGCCCATATCAGGTAAAACTAGACTATCTTGAGTTAATTTCTCTAGTAGTAATCATAGATTAGATAAGTTTGCTTATATAATTAAAGGTTATCATATTTCTTAAAAATATTCTATTTAAAGAAAGAAATGCTTGCATCTATCTCAAGCCTTTTCAAATGTGGTTTGTCTCAAAAGACTTTACAGCATTGAAATATTTTTAAATTGAAACATAATGATACAATCACAGCTGATGATAATACTGGACAAGTCCAATTCCAAAATGAAAGCTGGCTTGAAAGGTAAGTATTTTTTTGCTGTTTGTTTACCATGATTGTCAGTCACTGAAAGTATTCACAAGAGGCTGCCAATGTCACTCTAACAAAAGAATCTCAAAATTTATTATGCACACAAAAACCCAAACCATATTACACAATACAAGACCTACTTCAAACCATCTTATTACAAAATCAGAAATAGAGATTAAACTCTTTCACCCCCATTTGCAACCTTATAAGTACTCAAATCTCAATGAAGGATAACTTAAGTTTTTCGTTCAATGGTGTGACTTTAATTGTTTCTGGAGCTTTTTACTTGACTTCTAAGCACTCTTAGCTGAAACACATGGGTTTCCATGTGCTCTAAATTTTGTAGTTTCTGCTTCTGGAGTTTTCTTTTAAGCCACTTGGGACCTTTTTGGAGATTGCTAAACTAACTACACATTTTAACTCTAACTGAACACGCCCTTTCTTCTCCTTGTTGCTCGTCAACAGCTTAGTTATTTTTTTCGCTTCTGTTACTCTTTTTCCAAATGCACTGAACTATTCACCTCCAGGGTTTTAAAGACCTCATTTAGACATAACCAAAAACAGGAGGTGATGGCCTAGTGGCAAAATCGCTGGACTGTTAATCTAGAGACCCAGGTAGTGTTTTGGAGACCTGGGTTCAAATCCTGCCACAGCAGAGGGTGGAATTTTAATTCAACAAATATCTGGAATTAAGAGTCTAATGATGGTAATTAATTTGTTGATTTTGGAGGAAAAACCCATCTGGTTCACTAATATCTTTTAGGGAAGGAAACTGCCATCCTTACCTGATCTGGCCTACATGT